AAAGAAAAGTGACAAAAATTTAGGACTTTCGAGTACTAAAAGAATAAGTCAGCATTTTTGCATTTACCTTATTCCTTTGTATACGTGGAGCCAAATATAGGTCGAGGCACCTATTAAATCGCTCTTGAATAAAACGTCCATATGCTGGCACAGCTCTCAGGCATGGATATCTGTAAGGATTGCTAAAGGTGAGCTTCAAATTGATCATGCTAAAATAAGACAATGATATTATTACTTTTTTGGTAAATAATCCTTTTCTCTATCATCCGGATCCATCTTTTCCCATTCATCTCTTTCTTTGTCTGTCGGCAAATATTCCGCAGGAGGACTATAACTCTCATCATGTTCAGGTAACTTTATTTTAAGTGCAGGTATCTGCATAACGTGCTCTTCACGCGGTTTATCGTTATCTGTCCACAAACTATAATAACGAGGTTTGGGTGCCTGAGTTTTACCGGGTACAATATGTCCTTGACGAATAGCACGTACAATTTTCATTATCTTCAAAAATAATATTCCAACTATAAGCGCAATTACTAAAATGATCAAACAAATCAATATTACATGATGGAGAACATACACGCTTTGCTTCCCATTTGGAAGGTATGAAACGTCGTTTGGGTTCAGGCGTCGCGGTGAGAGGCATAATTTCGGGTTTGCTAGTGAACCACTCAACAGTTGGTTCATACGGATCATAATTTGGATCTGGAAATGCTCCCATCTGAATTCGAACGAATAATCTCGAATTTTTCGTCACGTAATTTAACATTCTGTTGTGATAAAATGTCTTTTACACATAACCTGAAAATAGTCAAATATTGCGTCGTTAAAATGATTACACTAAATTGAAATAAAGTGACTATACTACATACCATGAATCAGGATCGTCCATATTATCCAAAAATTTGTCCAGTTCATCACCCGTAGCAGGTTTCATGACTTTTTTGCCATCGATATCATATCCAATATGTGGATAGTCATCATACCATTCCATCGGTATATTACCCACAGTATTGACTGTCTAATTCACAAAAGAAATCAATTCAGGCAAATATTGAGGAATAATTGACAAAGATTTCTGATTAATTCATACATTTTCAGTTGAAGAATCACTGTCATATACAGGATCGATTTCTGGCAATATCATTAGCACCAATCTCATATTGCACTTGCGCCTCCCTGAAGTTGCATAACTATTTTATGAATAAACGTCTACGAAATTAAGCTACTACAGTATTTTTTAAAAAATCAAACATTTGGTCAGATATTTCACAATCATCCATTGCACTGCTAATTTTTGAAGATTTTTTTTTGAATGAGAAATAAAAAATTTTAACTCACATGATACGTATAATCACGTTTAACTGCAAGATAGGGTTGTGTGTTACATTTTTTTTCATTTGAAAGTACTATATGTAAAGTTCTTGTCGATATGTAAAGTGCTGTATTTAACGTTAATGTTTGTAGTTGACATACTCGACTAAGTCGAATCATTCATTCATCGTATGTATAATACATTCGAATTTTCAAAATTTTTCTGATATTTCCTTTAAATACTGCGATAGATTAAACAAGATCGATACTTATACACCATAATGCAATTTTAATTAATTTTTTATTGTTTTATTTTTTTACGCTTTACATTTTTTATTAAACTAAAATAACTATTTTTATTAAAAAATCTATCTATATTAACAAAAAAAAAAA